GATAATAGATGGTATAGATACAATAGAGATAAAATAAAAAAATAGTAAATAACTAACATATTTTTCTATTAATATAAGATAAACAATTAAATTAATTTAATAAGAATATGAATACTTACAATAGGTATTAGGAATAAAATTATCATTTAAAAAGTTTTACATTATTAATTTTATTTCAAATGGGTAATAAAATAGTGACAGGCGAACATGTCATTTATAGTTTTGGGAATAAATATTAATATAAAATGAGTCTTCATTTCTGATATTATAATGGTTATTTATTTTAAAGGAAATATTGATTAATATCTCCGAATCGATTTCAAGAGCTAAAGATTTTAAAATGACTTTTTTGAGTACCTACCTAGTAGATTAACTAAAAATGTACCTATGTTCAATATTTCAAATTATTAGACATTCAGATTTATCAAACCAATTTTTTAATAAATCAGAAGAAATTATGAAAAGGGAATCCTCACCCCACTCCCCTGAAAAGTGCAATAGTATCTTATTTATTTAAGTATATCAAAATTCTGATAAAGATTTGGCTTATAGCTGCCACTGGTCATTTATGTCAAAAAATTTTATTCGTCCCCAGTTCACTTGAATAAATCCTGGTAACACTACTGTTTGCTTATAATTGGTTATAAAATGTAATGAAAATATATTTTATTGTTGCACCATGGCTAGTTATTTTACTAATATAATTTGTACAGGTATTTTTGCTGAGATGCTGTCAGTAAGCCATCAAAATAGACAAACTAATAATGTCTTAGAAATTAGCCATAGGAATCTCATGACAAACATGCAAAATCCTAATCCAAGCCCATGATTATTTTTAGGTAAACATTGAATAGGGTTAATTTTAATAAACAATCAATAGTTTTTTAATAATACATCGTTTTCATTTAAAAAAAGAGGTTTTCATTAGAAAACCTTATTACTCAAGTTTATGGAATCATGAATGATTACCGGTTGGCAGTAGTTGGCATCGAACTATCGAAATCAGGCAACCTAGGCCATGTACGAGCAATGAATAGGACAAAAAAATAACCTTGGGCCTAACAAAACTTGAACAGAATTGTCTTACTGCAGCCAAGTTTTTGGGTTACACTAAATATGTAAAGCTAAATTTTGGACCCTAATGTTCACAATGAAGGTGAATATTATAATTCTTATGGTTGTGTTATATTACTGTTTATTATTAATTAAAATATACATTTCTCTGATAAATTATTTAATAATTTTTAATACATTAGAGTTACAAGCACAGACTGTTGAAGCAATCATCGAACCGGTTTTGAATATGAAGGACAACATTGGTAATCATGGATTTTTAATTGAATGTAAATTTGTGAAGCAAGTTATTTAATAATTTTTAAATTTTAGAGTTACAAGCACAGACTGTTGAACCATTCATCGAACCGGTTTTGAATAAGATGGACAACATTGATAATCATGGACTTTTTTGTATTACATTTTTGCCATAAGATAATTAAATAAATTATTCTAGAACCAAGAGATTGGGTGATAATTGGTGACCACCAGCATTCTTCCAGGGAGTTCTGAGGCATTACAACCTGCCATTATTATTATTTATAACGATTGCCCATTTATGCAGAACAAGATGCAATGCCTGATGATGTTTGACATAAGTTTCGGGGACATAATTATGAAGGTTAATATACTGACTAGTGATAGGTTAGGTGTTGAAATATTATTTAGTTATATGTTTATGTCTTAAAGCTCGATAATGAAATTGTACCATACGTGGTGGGCAATATTGATAATAATACATTTTTTTAAACAATTTTTTACTTAAGATAAAAATGATAAAATAAATATCTTATTCTAGAACCATTTGTATGGCCAACATTTGAATTTGAACTACAGCAACAAATAATAAATCTTATTAATGATTTTCCTCACATAAATATTAGATCAAATGATGAAGGTATATATTTTTAAATATAAAATGTTATGCCTGTATTCTACAATTTTATCCACAGTAATAGACTGCTGCACATTCTGCTAAATATTATCTAATATTTAAAAAGTATACATGTATTTTCATATAATTAATAAGCGTTAGATTGATAGATTAAATTTTCTCTACTCATTTCTAAAACTGCACATTTTCACTCATTTGTAATTTTTCAAATATTATTAGTTATAAATTATACATAACTTTAAAGTCTTATGCCAGATAAATTGTGGAAGTATTATATAAATGATAACATAAATATCTTTAATGAATAATAACTCTACTATTATTATTATGTGAAGGACACTCAAGGAAATCTTATTAGAAGACATAAGCATTGTGCCATTGTCATATTATGACATATGTACATAGATTATAAGCCATTTTCCCTTATTCTATTTGACCATTTATACAAATTAATGTATAAACAATAAACAAATAAGTAATATATGATATTATAATACTTTAAACTTGCAAATTATTTTTCAGTTGAAAACATGAGAGAAATTTTAGTGGCTGTGGCATGAACGAGTGCTGGATCAAATATTGTACTGAGGCCATGCAACCATGTCTGTTTGTGTGGTGAATGCTTCGAAGTATTGGATAGATTGGTTTGTCCACTTTAGTGAATAATTACAGTAATTACAGAAATTGTCCTTATTTTAGAGTAATACAACTATATTAATAAACATTGTACCTAATTATATACCTATTGGTGTTTCATTATTGTTCTATATTTACCTATGGTATCAAACTAATATTATATTATATTCATATTACTTTAAAGTGACAGCAATTTTTTTACATGAATACATGTTAGTAAAGTAATAATGTATTAAATTGTAAATATTATTATTATTATTATTATGTATAGGTACATTGATAATATGATTTCTACATTTGTAATAAATATTTAAAAAAAAATACTAAATATTATATTTCAATATCAAATACAATTTCTCGGTCCATCGGGTTATTATAAAAACGTACTCCCGTACGATCCAAGAAAAAGTATTTATATTGACAGTAACTTGAAATGTAAAATGATTTTGAAATGTATGGTGATCTTCCTAAGTTATCGATCAACTACGGCTTACAACTCGTCATGCAACACACAAAATCAATTATAAATTATTATATTAGTATAGTCACAGGAGAAATACAAAAATTATATTTTGAAGATATTATAATTATTTACTTTTTATACAAACAGGAATTATTATAGTCTTCTGCAAGAACTTGTATCCTAACATTTGTATCAGATTCCAAAGTATCAAAAAGATTAATCTTACAAGTTCGTTTTACTTTAAATGCTGGTTCAATGCTGAAAAAAAATGTTTAAGTGAATTACAAAAATAGAAAACAATTTATTTGTTAGTTATTTAAAAAAATTAACAGAAAGTGGGTTTATAAATACTTGCTTGATTCATTATTGGTAATCTTGCCTGATTGGTAACTAAAAATGATCCAGGCGGTGTACAAATTATTGGTGATTGACTAACTGAACTATTTTGACCATGCACAGGTGTTTCAAGACATTCACAATTACTACAGTAAACAAATAAAATTATTGAATTTGTATTAAACCAACTTCAATATTAGAAATAGATGGGATTTCAACCTCAATGGTAATGCATGAGATTTTTGTCTTCTGCCACGGATGGGAGAATAATTTAATATGTTTTGTAAGTGAATTACAAAAATAGAAAACAATTAATTTTTTTAGTTATTTGTACAAAATAACAGAAAGTAGGTTTATAGATATCTGGTTGATTCATTAGCTAAATTTGTAACTAAAAATGATCCAGACGGTGTGCAAATTTTTAGTGAGTGACTAACTGAACTATTTTGACCATACACCACAGGTGTTTCAAAACATTCACAATTACTACAGTAAACAAATAACATTTTTGAATTTGTGTTAAACCAACTTCAATATACTGCATCAGATTTTAGTTTTCTACCACGGATGGGAGTATAATTTAATATGTTTGGTTCTCGTATGAACTGGGTGAAAAATGTAATGAACATACTGCAGGCTAAAATAAAACTCGTCAAACATTAAATTATTGTTTTGCTTGTTTATATAATTATGTATTGTTTATTGTATGTATTATTATTACATACCAGTTTCAAAATTAATATTCAGTTTTTTTTTTGAACCCTTTTGGATTTGTTCAAACCATAGAGCATAAGTCTTTAGGAAATCTATAAATGTGAAATTTAGTATTGCTACTTTTAATTTTTTTGCTGCCACTATAGCAACCAACAAATGCACAAACCGGCATAATGGCAAAGGCAAGAACAACAATTTACAAATAAAAATAACAGTGAAAAATGAAAATGTACCAAATACAGTAAAAAAAAAAAACCATTTTATCATTAATCGAACAATGCAATCAAAAACTCATAAAGGCGAGCTAAATATAAGCCAATCAAATGACGAGGATGAATCCCACCCTATTTTGCGTTGATTGAACGAAATTCAGTTTTTTGTGATCATACCTTGTTATTTTGTCATGACTCCACGATTCATTTAGATGCGCCAATGCGGTGTACTCTTATTTGGTACAGACTATAGACAATATTTTAAATAGAAAAAAAACATATATTAAGTAGTTCATAAGTATATTACTTGTAAAAATATATAAGTGAATAAAAATAAAAATATTTGTACTTAAAAAAATATTTTTTAAAACCCATCAGTTAATATAATAATATGTCCAATTATCCACAAAATATGAGGCTGGTATACCAAACAATATAATAATTTCAGAATAATATTGTTAAAAACAAATGTGATATCTAAGAAATTTGTTTATCATATTTATATTTATTAAATATATATAATTTAAATAATTATTGTTTTAGGTTATCAAAAAAAATAAAATAATAACAACCTTCAAATATGTAACAATTAAATATATTATAAACTTAATGTATCTAAATCAAATTATTCATATTAACTTAAATAGTACAAGTAATTAAGTATGAATAAATAAAGCATTTATAAAATGCTTCAGAATTGAATATCTTCAATATTTTCCTTCAAAGCAGAAATATCAATGACATCACAAGCAATGAGTGGGTTACTTTTGGTGCATTGGTTCATGTATGCAGCAGTTTGTTCCAAAAGGTGTGCATCAAATGCTTTATCACTATTTCCTGCTAACAGCACTTTACATATATCATCAGGAATTTTTAATGATGTTAGTTGTTTGAAATTAGTCTTCAAAACATTTAAAATTTCAGCTTTAACATCAGATGCACGACAGATAAAGTTCAATAAAAATAAACCGTCTTTTCCAATTAAACTTTTTATGTTATTCAGTATATCTTGTCTCAAAAAAGCTTTTGGTGGTCCACTTAAACCCAATGTAGGATCTTTAGCATCAACATCGTATACTACTGCATCATATTTATCATTATTTTTGACAGCATTGCATATATACTCGAGACCGTCACCAATATTTACTTCTAATCTGCTGTCCTCTAACAGTCCAAAAGCTTCTTTGGCTATTTTGTATACGACTTTATCTATTTCTAAAGCTACAATATTTACATTTTTATAAGCATTTAACAATAAATTAGTAAGTACACCTCCACCCAGACCAATTAAAAGGATTTTAGATTCTCTATTTAATCGATTTGCTAAAATGCCCACACCGAGGCCCAAATATGGTATGTAATCACTTTGGAAATGGGAATAATCGATTTTGATCTCTCCATTTTCAGTCAGTAATTTTGCTTCGGATTGAGTGATATGAGGCATGTTAAGGAATACTAAACGTCTATAAGTTTCATCTTTTTCCCCAATTTCTTCTTCTACTACAAAATTTCCAGAGTATTCACTTTTGCTTTCCATAATGATTTTTCTATCTTTAAGTTCTCCTAATGATAAAAATAATATGGTTTCACCACGTCTTTTGACACCTTGTGGTGCTATTTTTAACATAAGTCTTGATAGTTCTCCCTGTACTTGTTTTAAATTCTTATAGATCTGTCCTCGATGCATACTAATGATAGCTAAACGATCTACATTACAATTCCGTCGCAGTGTATCTTGCCCTTCTTCACTGCTAAATAACCACTCATGTTCTCGACCTTGAGGAACAACAAATGCAGCAAAAGTCATTTTATTTGGATTCTTTTGAGTAGGAGATTCAACAATTATAATTGTGTATCGAGGTTTTTTTGTTTGGGAACAATTAATTTCAAATCGATAATTATTTGAAATGTCTTCCATTTGACATTTAGTGAGATCAAAACACATTGAAACAGATTTCTGAGTATCAATAACTATTTCTAATAGATAATTTATGGAATCTAATCTTTCATTTGTAAGTCCATCTGGATTCCACTCAAGAACTGGATTAGCTCCGGGTATTTTATTTAGTTTAGTACAAACAACCATAAATACAGGTTGGCCATTGAAATCTGGTGAGTCTTCAACTTCTGTACATTGACAAACACGAATTATCCAACCATTTTCACTGAAATAGGAAAATATAAACTTTGCAATATGATACTGAAGAAGGGACACACAAATATATCGCCCTCCAAATTTCAATATTCTTTTGATCTCGTCAAACATTTTCATTGCACGTGTAAGACACTCCACTTCACCATCCGCAATCAAAGCATCCAGTGTTCCTTTGTCAATAATGGCACTAAACTTTTCATCAGCATATTTGGTATTCAATATATCCTCAATTTCATAAACTAGACCTGGGTATTTATTTTTATGTTTATTATTCATATTGGCGATTACAACTTTACTGTTATCCACACTAGTCAAGTTGATGAATCCATCACAGTACAAGTTTAAACTAAGATCAGAATTTCCACATCCCGAAATTAATATAACATCTTTAACACTAATGTATTTGGTGAGTAAACGTTTTAAATTTTCATAATTACCATACCATTCGAAAGTAGCTTTACGTTTTGTAAAAAAAGAGTCCCAATACTCTGTTGTACTGAAGTCACTGTTTTTCTTGGGCACCAAATTCATTGTAGTTGTGTTGTGTTACGGATAAAATGTAGACACTATAAACAATTTTAATAAATAAACTATTTAACAACCTTTTTCTGTGAACATAATACCTATACCTTAAACAGTTTATCTATCGGTAGATCATGGTGTGATGACGTGTGTTCCATGGAAGAAATGTACTTTGGGAAAAGTAAACATTACATTTATTACCAAAAACCATTTTATCCAGTAGAAGTTATTATCAGTTTTACCCATAAACCTTGTGGAGGGGGCAAAGCTAAATTATCGGAAATTTTAAATGTTGACCTCCCGAATGCACCAGCTAGATTCACTTTCCCATCGAACAAGATAATGTCGAAGAAAATCGAAGTATTATTTCAATTTTCAATTACATACCGTGTACGCAGACAATAAAAAAATGTTAACCATTTTGCGATCTCGTGGGATTTGCGGCTATATCACTGCCGAATAATGAATAATCCTTTACAGCCTTATGTACGCGTATATTACGCATTTCTCCTTGGTCCGATATAATATCTGACGTCCGTCGTAAGAATAATTCGTTTTTCACACCCTCTGAAAATCCACTGTCTACATATAAAACAAAAACTACGGCTGTGCCAATATAAATATATAATACTTATATTATATAACAATATTATTTTTTTCTGAATATAATGTTCCCACTTTCGATGTTACATTATCTTACAGTCGTTCCTGAATAGAGAATAAACCGCCTTTTGTTATTACTTATCTATATATCTATATCTATATATATAAAAATGGAGCGTGAAAAAAGTCATTACCTCATCAATCGAGAACGGCTGGTCCGGTTTGGCTTAAATTTTTTTTAAGATGTTTGTAATTGCTAGGAGAAGGTTTTTACGAAAGAAAATTTTAGGAAAATCCCCCGGAAAAGTAGGAAATCTGGATGTAAAAAATACAACAGTGCCGCAACAGTGTGTTATACAGTGTGTAAACGGTAATCGAGAACACTCAATATCTTTGCGTAGAGACCTGCTATTTGAATTCCGTTTTTTTGGCAGTTGTTAAGACATAAAAATACACATTTTTATGGTCTTTGAATTTTTTTTACTTAACTAGTCACGCGCATGCGCATGTCAACTTTTTTTTTTTAAATGGCAACCCCCTGCTTTAACCACTAATTATTTTTTTCCTATTTTTGTAATGAATTTTGGTAGTTGAATCAACTTTCTAAGTCCAAAATTGACCAAGTTACAGCCAATCAAAAAAAAAAAAAATTAGAAAAAAAATGCGCTGGAATTTCAGATTTTTGATTGTAATTCTGAAAATAATTATTTTAGGATTGTTAAACATTGACATTTTTGTAACTATTTATTACGGTGATATTCATACGTTATTTTAACTTCAATTACTGAATAATTTTCTCTTTAATTCGTGTAATAAATCATATAACTTATTATAGCAGAAAAAACGTAAATTAGTATGTTGTTTATTTCTTTGAATATCACCGTAATAAATAGTTACAAAACTGTCAATGTTTAACAATCCTAAAATAATTATTTTCAAAGTTACAATCAAAAATCTGAAATTCGAGAGCATTTTTTTCTAATTTTTTTTTTTTTTTTGATTGGCTGTAACTTGGTCAATTTTGGACTTAGAAAGTTGATTCAACTACCAAAATTCATTAAAAAAATAGGCAAAAAATAATTAGTGGTTAAAGCAGGGGGTTGCCATTTAAAAAAAAAAGTTGACATGCGCATGCGCGTGACTAGTTAAGTAAAAAAAATTCAAAGACCATAAAAATGTGTATTTTTATGTCATAACAACTGCCGAAAAAACGGAATTCAAATAGTAGGTCTCTACGCAAAGATATTGAGTGTTCTCGATTACCGTTTACACACTGTATATTGGTTGCTATTGGTTAATCGGTTGATTTGTATTGTTATTTTTTGTCAATATATATATATATAAATGAAACTTTGTGTGTAGATTAGACCGCTGGCTAATTTAAAAATGGTTAATTTGGTTTTTTTTATTCATCTGATATTAGTACGGTTAGGTTAGGTTAGGATTTTGTATTAATTGATTATACTGACCATAGGTGGAATACGACAAAATTGGTATAACTTTTTGATACTTTAGAGTTAAATCATACATTTACGCACAAACAGCACGGGGTCCACGATCTACCGCAGGTATATTGCCAAACCTGATAATATACTGCTGCGAATCAAAATTCTTATTTCAGGCAACAGAAGAGTTAAGATACATTTTGAACACCATACACCAAATATTAAATAATTAATTTAACAAAGTTTGAGTCATATAGAGTTGGTACATTTAACGGGCAACGAAGTGTACAGGATCAGCTAGTAATAAAAATATATGCCATAATATTTTATCGCATATTCTTATGCAAAAGACATCGTTTTTACTTTTTATAGTAAAATTATAATATTATTTAAGTGATAAAAAAAGAGTGATGATACCAGAAATGATGATATCAGACATGGACGTAATTTATACATATTCAGATTTTCATAATTATAATTATAATTATTTGTGAATGCAGTTCGATAAAAAACTAATACTTTATAAATTAAATGATAATTGTTTATTATAATAATAATATTATATTATCTGGTTTAATTGTTTAAATATCAAAATATAACATGATAATAATATTATATAATAATTATTATACATTACTACTGTTTACGAATAATAAACAAAGTATCTATTCATAATATTTTGTTGAACATTTAAAACCTTCACTGCAAAATGTATTTTTCAAAAGAATTTTTGGCCGGAATTTCATTCGTTTGCGTCGGTGTAGCTGGAATGGCGTTCCTATTATCTAGGCAAAACAATCCAACTAGGTACCGATGAATGTGAAATAAAAAATATTTAAGACGACTTGGAGGAAACAAAATATAATACATATTATGTAGCCATGTAGGTGTATAATACTATAATGCAATAACTCGGTGTATCTTACCTACTTAGCGTAGCCAGGTTAGAGGGAAGTTGGTGGAACGGATATATGAGGGTGATTAAATATTTAAATTTGTATATTATGAAATTATAACAAGGACATACCAGGTTTTGTACTGGACCCTTCAATTCCAGACTTTTTAGGTTGGATAAGTCATAAGTAGATAAATATATTTACCATAAGTGAAAATTTACACTTATGAGTTTGTAAATACTAAATTTAAGTATTTAGTAACAGTTTAAATTCACTAACTTTTAACTTGTACATTTAACTATTAATCTGCAACTAATATGAAATAATTACAAGGCTCATTATATATTAGTAAATTTCAACCCATATTAATAGTTAAATTTACAAATTATAAATATAAGTAAATTTCAACTGTGACCTACTGATAATTGTACACATCAAATAGGTTAATAAATTTCAACTTCGCTATGATTGTAAATTTACAAGTAATGTGCTGTAAATTTACACAAACATTTTTTTACAGTGTATATTATTTAAAGGTAAGTACTAAGTATAGTAATAAAATGTATAACATGCCAACATGGTACATAAAATATATATAAGTTTAAACATATATAAAAGTACCTATTTTGTTAGGTTAGGTTAGGTTAGGTTGAAGACTGTTGAAGACTGCAGAGACGACGTCCGCGGAAAGTAATATTATATAATATGTATGTATATCGATCTTAACTATGCCTATAACAGTTATAACACATTAGTCGTTTCCGTTCGTTTAGGAAACACCGACATATCCGAGGAAAAACTCGACAACTGCAAACTCAGCAGGCAGAAGACACGGATTTCAATTCTCGAAAGTCGAAAGTAAAATATAGGGAAATATCGGTTGATCAGATAATATTACTTATGACGTGTGCAATAGGAGAAGTGATGAAAAACTCGTTGGAAATAATCGGAATGAACCACACGTTTCGGGCTCTGATATTGACGAAACTGGTTTCGGGCGCGGGGGTCGTCGCTGCTGTGACGTCGGCAGGAGAAAACTATTAAACTAAATTTTTTAATTTTAAAAGAAAACAGCAAGCGAAATTGTGTGCCTGAATTGCCTATCTAATGCGCCGCGTTAACATAATTCTATTATTGACATTTTGAAATATTGAGCAAGGTAAAAGTATACTTAAGTTGTACAAAATATTATACATTTAGGTAGGTATATTTTTTACAAATTTTTATTTTACGAGGTTATTGGCTTAGTTTAAATATAAAAAATATATTTATTGTGACATGGCACAAACACATCTAACTAAGGATCGACCTTAGTGCACTAGACGACTATGGTCTTTACAATAATTATTATCGTATGTTAAATATGCATATTATTCAAACTAACCATATGTATATATTTTTTAGTAATATTTTAAGAAATTCATTAAAAATTTAAATCTAACTATTATGATAATATAAATTACAACAGTAATAAACAATAATACCTATTTTAAAATACTATGAATTGTAATACACAATGTTTCCTTATTCAGTATGTTATTATACTATTTACCTATTTATTAATTTATTATTTCAAAGTTTTCAAAAATATTCTCAACACAAGAATTTATTAGGTAAGAGTAATTTAAGTGGGAAGTAATATTTATTAGTAATGTTTTAATTACGTGATAAATACGACGAGAAAATTAGTTGAAAAGCATTATATCAAATTATAATACTAGTCATACTACATATCAAAAAGTGAGAGCAAGTTAGAGGAAATAGCTTTCTTAATGGTGCCACACAGTTTATCATTACACTTTCCTTCACGTTGTATATTCATAGTATAATAACTAATAATTGATATTATATATACTACATAGATCCAATCTGGACTACAGCTGCTGCAGTGGTGGGTGACAACGTGGAACCAAAACGGGTTTATAGTGTGTTAATATATTTATATATATATTTTGAGTTAACTCTTTTCACTGTTACTCAGTCTTGTTGTGTTCTCGTTTGCAAAATCACATAAAGTGCCGTTTGTACGTCTTAAGCGCTCAAACTGATATTACTTTGACCCAGA